TATTTTATTAATTGTAATATGTCAGAATGATTCAACTTTTCTACTTAGATAGTTTAGCCTGCTGTGTAGTTAGTACACACTGAACTTTCTGAGGCTAGTGGGCCCTAGAGGCCCACCTATAATGTCTTCTTGATGCAGCCCATCAGAGCTGTGCCGCAGTTTGTTTTGTTTAATACAAAGCAAGTAATACTCCTTGGAATTTTTCCATTGCAGAGTAATGGAAAATGGAACTTTCAGAAATGTATTTTTAGAACAAAGTTCTTGCTGTGACTTCACTAAGTAGATCAGAATACTGGAATGAAGATTTCCATTTTTCAGAAAAAGCAGTTAACTTTCAATTATCAAAAGTGCTCTGTTGTAAGAATGGCTATAAAGCACTAAATATTTGCAATTAGTCATCTAGAAATATTTATTCTGGATCTGGATCTTCACCTCTGCAGAATCTCTGCTTATAGCGGACTGACAAAGCTCCACAGCTCAATGGGAAGTGCACACGTTCTGTGCAGCTCAATGGGAAGTGCACACGTTCTGTGGAGTACCAAGATCAGTTCTGCAGAGTTCTCCCACAAGCAAGTGCACAAAGGGTGGGTGGATCCGGATAGTGATGAATGGCAGTGGGATGATCCATTTCAAGACTGCCAGTATCTCTTCGGGGCTCTGACATCTAGGGAGAAAGGCCACACATCCAACAGAGAAGAGAGTAGCACACTGCCTGATATCTGGTCTGTAGACTGCTGCCCAGGATTCTGGCTTAAAAGCACTAAACTATAAGGCTGAGATTTTCAGTCACTTATTGAATACCCAAATTAGTTTTGTGGCTTTGAAAATCCCACCACAAGGGTTCCAGTCATTTGTGCTCTTTGATATTACAAGTTTCAAAATCCTCCTTTAAGAGTTTGGGAGCTCCCAATTGGTAAGTTACTTTTTAAGAAAAACTGAGTATCAACCATTGTATATCCATTTACCTTGCACTTACACGTATACTTTGTTTCTCTTAATAAAATATCAGTGTCTCTGCCTATAAACCTGACACCGTGAGGAAAGCCTTGTAGCCTGAAATATTGGTATTTTTATTGTGAAGATACACACAAGCATACTTAAGTCAAAGGATTTCTCATTGTTGTGCTGCAATTGACTTAGCATTTTGGATTCAGAGAAAAATCAAAATAAAATTGCCTAGCTAGTTTACAGTAGATACAAATAAAGTTTAAGATATTAAATATAAAATCCATTTCATTTACACTATAGTTGTGAAACAAACTAAAGGAAGGAAAGAAACTCAAGGCTGAGCTGAATTCACTGTTAAATTTAAACACAGCACAAAAGTCTGAGCTTAAGGCCCAATCTGGCTATCACTTGAGCACTTGCACATTAACTCAATGTAATTACTTACGTGTATAAATGTAAGCATGTGTGTAAGTGTTAGAAGGACTGTGGCCTAAGAATGAAGCACCAACATTAATTAATCTGGTAGAATCAGCCAGACACTCATCATAATGTATACTTCCCTGATATTACAAAAATGTTCCTGAAAGATAATAAAAAGAACACTATCTGACCCAAAGCCTTTGATGGTTTCTTCGGATTGGCTGTGGCATCTTGAGTTCTTTAGGGAGAAGGAAATATTTAGGCAGTTCTTAAAAAAAAAAAATGTTATGGACTCAACAGACCAAGAGGGCTCCTTGTAGAATTTTTCTACTGTGTATTTAGAATATTTTGTAAAAGGCTATTATTTATCCAACAGACTTAAATGCTTCCAGAGGAGCGGTTTCAGTCTATTGTGAAAGTATACATTTAGAGAGTGTATTATATGTACTAAAAGTGGGTTGTAAAAGTCTTAATAAAAACATAGAGAGACAAGGTGGGTGAGGTAATATCTTTTATTGAACCAACTTCTGTTGGTGAAAGACAAGTTTGTGAGCTTACACAGAGCTGTTCTTCAGGTCTGGAAGAGGTTTTTAGTGCAGAGAGATTTTTAGTGTCTAGCAGAGTGTGATAGGGTGTGTTCTTCACACTTGCCCTGAAGGGGTTAATGTAGACCAGAGGGGCCAATTAATTAGGCTGCAAACTGGGGGAACTAAGGCTGAGAGGAAAGCCCTAATTAAGGGAAGATCATCTGTGTAGGAACAGGAATGGGGTTCTACAAAGCCAGAGAACTGATAGCAGAGAGAGGCTGCAGGGAAGTAGTCTGTAGTCACTCCCTGGGAGAAGGGGTGTGTGTGTTGGGGCTATAGAAATTAGCCTTCAGTTACTCCCTGAGAGGAGAAAGATTGGGCTGGCAAACCTGGGGGATTGGGGTGGGTATCAGAGCCAGAAGGAGTACGAAAGGCTCAGGCAAAAAGGAAGCAAGGTTCAGGATGGTGCAAACCTTGGCTGCTGACTAGAGGGTCCTGAGCTGGAATCTAGAGTAGAGGGTGGTCCCTGGTGGTCTACCAGCCACTGTGAAAGTGGCATCATCGGGGCAGTGAATAAAAAGGCTGACTAAGACTGCTGGTAAGGAACTGAGTTTGATGCCTCAGAAGGGGGAAACATGCATAGGGACCTGGCTGGAGGGCCAAGTCACAAAGAAGGAGCACCTTGAGTCGCAGAAAGCGTGAGAGAGTGGCAGCAGGGTGTGCAGCGAGTAGCCAAAGGGGGCCTTGGACTGGGAAAGAGCTAATTCCCAGAGTGGCCAGGGGGAGGTGCCACCTGTGGTGAGGGGATCTGGTGACACAGTCTTATGAATTTAAGTTTCCAAGCTCATCTTTTGAAGGTGTTGTGCAGGTTTCCCTTGTAGATGAGGACTGAGAGGTCAGATAAGACCGTTTTGTGAAAAGTGTTCATCCATGGGTTTTGTCTCTTTCACCTGCAGAATTTGGTCCAATAAAAAATATGACCTCACCCATCTTGTCTCTAACATCCTGGGACCAACACCGCGAACAATTTTTAAAAAATTTAAAAATTAAAAAAATAGTCACTTTGGATGTAAAGTAGCAGTAACAGATTATCTGGGTAACTTTGTTTTTAAATATCACAAGCAGCGAAGATAGTCATACATAGCACTCTTCATCCAGAGATCTCAGTGTGTTTTACATAGAAAAGTAAACATCACTATTTCCATTTTACACAGGATAAACAGATGCACAGAGAGGTGAAGTGACTTGTCCAGGGTCACACAGGAAGTCACTGCAGAGCTGGGAATAGCACCCAGGTTTCCTGACTCCCATGCAGTGCTCTAGCCATTAAAAACTACTGGCTCAATCAAATTAGGGCTATATGCTGCAGAAAATATCCACAGCCTTCTGAGCCAGCAGGAAGATCAGCAGACTGAAGAAAGGCTAACATACCATCATACACCCCACCAAGCTTTACACCAGAATTCTGTATTCTGGGCCCATTCCTCTTACCTTCCCTACAAATCCCACAGGACCACCCCTGTTCTCTGTATTCTGATGGGGAGGGTGAGGACAGCCTCCATTATCCTCCAGCCCTTCCCCTATCATCTTTCTGGTGAGTAGTGGGAAGGACAGAAAATGAGGTTTCTCCAGACCAGTGGCTCCCTGGCATCATCTCCTTAGTTGACAAAAGACAGCTAAGGAAACATCATTGGACCACATAGCTCCTTTGAAAATATTTCCCAGTTTACGTAAGGAAAGCACCTGCCTTTGCATTTAAATGTCAGAGGATGCCTGCTGTCATTTACATGAGCCTGAGTGTTCCTGGGAAAGATATGATCTGAAGCAGCCATCAAAAATGAAACTGTCATCATTCTGCTGCTACTATGGAGGGGCACTGACCCTAGGAACAGGGAGCCAGCTCTTTGCCTCCTAAACCTCTGAGTTTCCATGGACCCACAGAAATGGTCCGATTCTGTGGTGAGTTGGGCTGCTTTGTGTTATCCTTGCATCACAAACTACAGCACTAAAGCCATCTTAGCAGGCGGCAGGAGGATTCCCCCATCACTGTAGCAGCTCCTATGTCGAAAGTGTGGCTGAGGCAAAGGGAACATGGCTGAGGTGTTTACATCCTTGTGATCACTGACTGTTGTAGTGGGGGCTGTTGACCAAACAGCATAAATTAGGGTAACCTTCAGGATACTCTAATTCAGCAGTTCTCAACCAGGAGTCCAGGGCCCCCTAGGGGGCCGCAAGCAGGTTTCAGGGGGTCTGCCAAGCAGGACCGGCATTAGACTTGCTGGGGCCCAGGGCAGAATGCTGAAGCCCCACTGCATGGGGCTGAAGGCCGAGGCCCAGAGCCCCGCCACCCAGGACGGAAGCCAAAGTCTGAGCAACTTAGCTTTGTGGGGCCCCCTGTAGCATGGGACCTGGGCAACTGCCTTGCTTGCTACGTCCTAACGCTGGCCCTGGCTTTTATATGCAGAAAAACAGTTGTTGTGGCACTGGTGGGCCATGGAGTTTTTAATAGCATGTTGGGAGGGGCCTCAGAAAGAAAAAGGTTGAGAACCCCTGCTCTAATTTATGCTGGAGACTGACCTGGTACCAGGTGGCCTAAGATTAAGTTTAGGAGTGAAATGCAAGAAAAACCTTTGTATACCAGTCCTTTCTTGCCCCACCTTCACTGAATGCTTTGTAGCCTCAGTGAAGTAGCTTGCCTGGAGCCGATCTTGGACTGGATATGGGCTTTAAACCATTTTACAAAGTATCGGCGCAATCCTTCTCCCATTGAAATCAGCAGTGAAACTCCTATTCAGTCCAATGGCAGCAGGATGGGCCCTGTTAAGGTTTGCACACAAATAATTTGTAAATAAAAAAAAATTGAAACTGCCACAATGGCCAAATTTCCCTGCACTGGGTTGAAAATTCAAACCAATCTCCTTGTTGATATAGTTTCTCTCTCTATGCAAATGTGCAGTCCCATAAATTTTTAGAGCTCAGATGTGCACCACTGAAACACTCACAGTAACTTAACTATGGCAGCACAAATATATTGTTTCAAGTTTTTTTTTTTTTAATCTAATATACATGGTATAGAATCAGTTAAAAATAAAAATCAAAGTTTACCTGAAGTTGCTGTTCTAGTTCTGGAAAAGCCAAAGGAAAGGTGTTTTCTGGAGGAGCATCATCTAAAATGTAAAAAGACATTTTGAAAGATAACACTTACTATAAAGGCATTTCACATGCTCAATTGATATAGTATGGCATGTATGTTGTCCCTTCTATCCTGATCCTGCAGAGACTTACACACATACTTAACTTCATACATGTGCGTAGTCCTACTGAACTCAGTAGAACTACTTAGGGATGTAAAGTTAAGTCTTTGCAGGATTGGAGCCTTATTTTGTGTTACAATAATTCTGAAACAGAGTCACACTTATAGAATGTATTATAGCACAGTAAATCAATCAATCAAGCAATACATCCAGACAATTTCTATCTCCTGCTTCCCAATTACAGTACAAATAATTCAGGTTTCTGCCATACACACCCATGCCTTCAATGAGCTCGTAACTTCAGTAAAGAGTAAGGCCTTCTCTACACTGGCAAGTTTCTGCGCAGTAAAGCAGCTTTCTGTGCTGTAACTCCCGAAGCGTACACACTGCCAAGCAACCTAGTGCGCAGAAACTGCACAGTTGCAGCGCGGTAAAAAAGTCACCCTGACGAGGCATACAGCTTTCTGCGCCTGGGCTACAGCGCCACAGTGCCAGTGTAGACACCCTGGTTGATTACAGCGCTGCAACTGGTCTCCAGGAAGTATCCCACAATGCCTGTTCTCACCTTTCTGGTCATCAGTTTGAACACTACTGCCTTGCCCTCAGGTGACCAATTGTGAGCCCCACCCCTTAAATTCCTTGGGAATTCTGAAAGTCCCCTTCTTGTTTGCTCGGTGATGCATGCAGTGGTCTCAGCGCATCTTTCCAGGTGACCATGCCTGCTCCACGCACCAGGCAATCCCCCACTTGGAGCAATGCCGAGCTGCTGGACCTCATCAGCATTTGGGGAAAGGAGGCTGTCCAGTCCCAGCTGCACTCCAGCCGTAGGAGTATGATATCTATGGACAGATTTCACGATGCATGATAGAAAGGGGCCATGACTGAGACACACTGCAGTGCAGGGTCAAAGTGAAGGAGCTGTGGAAAGCCTACCACAAGGTGCAGGAGGCAAACTGCCAATCCAGTGCTGCGCCCACGAGCTGCCGGTTCTACAAAGAGCTGGGCGTGATAATCGGTGGTGACCCCATCTCCACTGCGAAGGCCACTGTCGATACTTCGGTGGCTCATGTGCCAGTTGAGAGTGAACTGAGCCAGGAGGAAGAAATCTTGGACGAGGATGTGGAGGGGCAGGGGGACCCAGAGGCAGAGGACGACTCAGAGATCAGAGATGCATTCAGCCAGGAGCTCTTCTCTACCCCGGAGGAGGGTAGCCAGTCACAGCTGCCGGATCTTGACGAAGCGCAAACAGGAGAGGAGGCCCCTGGTAAGTGGCTTTGATTTTGGGAATCGCTGAAGCGAGTTGCTGGGGGCAGGAGGGTTGCAGAAAGCAGGCTTGTGTCTGTATGATGCGCGTACCACCACATGCCTACTCTGAGTGGCGGAACAGGGTGTTGATTGACTCCCTCACCTCACAGGAATCTGCCTCAGAGATCTCCAGGAAACTGTCATGGAGATACTGGGCAATCCACGGCCACAGGCTCTTTGGCAGAGCTGCTTTGTTTCTTGCCTCATTAAGGGTAACTTTCCTGTGCCACTCTGCTGTCACTGGGGGACGGGGGGACCATAGCCGCACACAGGAGAGCTGTATAAGGGCCAGGATGGAAGCCGCAGTCTTGGAGACGACCCTCCCTTAATTCCCTGCTCACCCTCTGCAGCGAGATATCTTCCATAATGAACACAACCTGTGGAAAATGTGGGGACAGTAATGATTATAAGGTCCCCCCTACAGTGCTGGCTCTCCCTAAGAGCCAAGTGCCCAGTGTACAGTATGGTCCTGGAACACTGATTTCCACTGCCCCAGTGGTTACTAACCATTTTGGGGGGGTCTTGTGGCTCATGTGTGTTTGCCTGGGGTCAGCCAGTTAGTGACAGGTATGTGAATAGTAGCTGTGTTTTAAATCAGTGGTCTCTGTGTTGCAAACAATACTGCTTCTGTAAATTGTTGCATTTTGGCTTCACAGATATGACCTTGGGAGCGCAGCCTCCTTCTTTGTTATCGCCGGCTGAACAGCTGCTCAGAATTAGAAAGCGGCGACAAAGAACTAAAGAGGACTTTCTGCGTGATGTCACGGTGCACTCCACGGCTAAAAAACAAGAATTGAAGGAGTGGCAGGACAGCAAGAAGAGGGACCGAAAGGAGAACGCAGCGCGCCAGAATGAAGCCACGGAGCAGTTCTTAAATGTTATGCGCCAAGCAGACACTATCCAGGCGCTACTAGCACTGCAAACCAAACAGCTCCGTGTCCGCCCTCCCTGTCGCAAAACTCTTTCTCATGCGCCCCCCAGACACCGCTTATCAACCTCCTGGCTCCAGTCTGTACCTGTTGCATTCCACTCCTGCCCTGTCACAGCCAAGCCCTGCGGACTCCCAGTACCCACTGCACTCAACATCCATCCCTCTGCAATTTACCCACTGCACTGTACTCCAAAGGACAAGGTTGCATATGATACCTGTACATACACAAATCTTTAACTGTCCCAGGACCCCACCTCCCCCTCGGACCTTCCCTTCCCCCATCCCTCACAGTGCTGATGTGTTTTTTTGTTTGTCTCTGTCCTCCGTTGTTTTTTTTTTAATAAAATAATTGTTTTGGTTTGAAAGCAATCTTTATTCCATTAATAGAAAGCAAACAGAGCCCTGCAAATCAACAGGCAATTTTCTTAAACCTTCACTGGGCATCGTCTGCACCAATCACAATCACCTCCTAGCATTACAAGCACTGCACTCCTGAGCATAGCAACAAATATTAGTGGCTTTCAGCTTCAAATTGCTGCCTCAAGGCATCCCTGATCCTTATGGCCCCACGCTGCGCCCCTCTAATAACCCTGGTCTCTGGCTGTTCAAATTCAGCCTCCAGGCACTGAGCCTCAGCGGTCCAGCCTTGAGTGATGCTTTCACTCTTCCCGTCACAAATATTATGGAGTGTACAGCACGTGGCTATAAGCACAGGAATATTGTCATCAGCCAGGTCCAGCCTCCCATATAGGCAGCGCCAGTGGGCCTTTAAATGGCCAAAAGCACACTTAACAGTCATTCTGCACTTGCTCAGCCTGTTGTTGAACCGCTCCTTGCTGCTGTCAAGGTTCCTTGTGTATGGCTTCATAAGCCACAGCATTAAGGGTTAGGCAGGGTCTCCCAGGATCACAATGGGCATTTTGACTTCACCTATGGTGATCTTCTGGTCCAGGAAGAAAGTCCCTGCTTGCAGCTTCCTGAACAGGCCAGTGTTCTGAAAGATGCGTGCGTCATGCACCTTTCCGGACCAGCCTGCATTAATGTCTGTGAAACACCCACGGTGATCCACAAGCGCCTGGACAACCATAGAGAAATACCCCTTCCGATTAATATACTCAGTGGCTAGGTGGTCTGGTGCCAAAATTGGAATATGTATGTCATCTATTGCCCCTCTGCAGTTAGGGAAGCCAATTTGTGCAAAGCCATCCACAATGTCACACATGTTGCCCAGAGTCACGGTCTTTCGGAGCAGAATGTAATTCATCCAGCCCTGCACACTCCGTCAACACGAGTCCAACGGTCAACTTTCCCACTCCGAACTGGTTAGCGACCGATCGGTAGCAGTCTGGAGTAGCCAGCTTCCACAGTGCAATTGCCACACGCTTCTCCAACGACAGGGCAGCTCTCATTCTCATGTCCTTGCACCGCAAAGCTGGGGTGAGCGCATCACACAGTCCCACGAACGTGGCTTTCCTCATCCGAAAGTTCTGCAGCCACTGCTCGTCATCCCAGACATGCACGACGATGTGATCCCACTATTCAGTGCTTGTTTCCCAAACCCAAAAGCGGCGTTCCACTGTGGCCAGCACCTCCGTGAATGCCACAAGCAATCTCGTGTCATAGCTACTATGCAGGGCGAGATCAATCTTGAACTCCTCTTGCCTTTGTAGTTTAAGGAATAACTCCACTGCCACTTGTGACGTGTTAGTGATTGCGAGCAGCATATTGGTCAAGAGTGCGGGATCCATTCCTGCAGACCGAAGAGGCAGAGCGCGCAGTACACAAACCGTTGAAAGATGGCGTCTAATGCAGACGGAAGCACAGAGATTTCTGGGATGCCAAGCAATGCATCATGGGGCATTGGGACAGGACCCAGGATGCCCCGTGACCCCCTTCGCCTTCCCACAACTCTTAGTGGCAGAAGAGGAAGAGATGCTCTGTGGGACAGCTGTCCAGAGTGCACCACTCCAAATACTGCTGCAAGTGCTGAAAGTGTGAACACGCTATTGCGCAGGCAGCTGACAGTATGAACACACAACAGCGGTTTCCCTTCAGTGCTCTCTGAGCGGCGATGTAACTGCCGGCACTGTAACTCTGCCAATATAGACATACCCTAAAGAGAGTTCATCACCTGCTAGAAGGTAGTCAGCATATCGCAGGGTTGGGCCCATTATAAGTATGACTTCTAAACAGTCTTGAAAGTGACTTTTCTGCTATGGTTTAGTAGGGCTAAAATAACAATATGAGAAACAGTTTTCCCCCTGTAGTAAATGTAATGCCCATGGAACACACCACAGGTTCTTTGTGTAGTTACAGAGGAATGACAACACATACAGCAGCACAGAATCATAGAATATTAGGGTTGGAAGAGACCTCAGGAGGTCATCTAGTCCAATCCCCTGTTCAAAGCAGGACCAACACCAACTAAATCATTCCAGCCAGGGCTTTGTCAAGCTGGGCCTTAAAACTTCTGAGGATGGAGATTCCACGACCTCCCTAGGTAATCCACTCCAGTGCTTCACCACCCTCCTAGTGAAATAGTGTTTCCTAATATCCAACCTAGACCTCCCCCACTGCACCTTGAGACCATTGCTTCTTGTTCTGTAATCTGCCACCATTGAGAACAGCCTAGCTCCATCCTCTTTGGAACCTCCCTTCAGATAATTGAAGGCTGCTA